TGTGTCCTGGGACCAAAGAAAGTGGTGGCAGCTCGGTTGCAGGCAGGGAGCAGATTAATCCACACAGAGCCAGAATGCTGCCCCACAGCCTCAGGCATGGAGGCATGGGACTGTGTGTGTGTGTGTGTGAAAGTGTACAGTATGTGTGATTATGTGTATATTTTAGAAACAGACAGGACAAATAAATAGGACATGCCATTAGAGGTAACGCATTAGATAAATCAGCCAGAGAGAAGAGAAGAAAGGGAGAAGAAAGCAGAGTAAAAAGAAGAGAAGAGAAAAACTCTGATTAAAAGCAGCCGTTAGAAAGAAGGTCTTGTCCTGTCCTGGTCCCTATGGGGCAGCCATGTGGCAACTAGATGCTGCTTGCGGGGCAGGGGCTTTGGCAGCCTGGACAGGACTAGATGGGACGGGATGGGCACACACAGCCTGTGGCTGTACCAGCCCAGATACCCAGCAGGCTACTGGGAACACAAACACACACCTCATATACTGGGCACGGTTAACATACACTCACATATGTCGGTGTCACGCAGAGACCTTCTATCTCCGAAGTGTCATCATTTGGATATGATTCATGCTCATGTTCATGTTGAATATTTTACTAACGGCTGACTGTGCTGCTAGGTTTATGAAAAATGTAGTTACAGTAAAAAAACTAGAATCACAATGCCCGACGTAACAAAATAAAAACAAAAAATAGATAGGAAAAGTCTGAATCTGAGAAAATAGAGACAAACACTCCATATGTGTTTTCTCTGATACGGGTTTTCTATCCCTTAACAAGGACTTTCCCACAGCTTATTGTTCATTAATCTTTCTGGATTTATGACAGTCCTTGAAACAATCATTCGAAGAGTAATTCACTTTACAGCGTTGTGTTGCTGAGGTATCAGTGTATGACTTTCTTCGGGCAGACACAAATCCTCTTTATTCACTTCTCATCTGCCCTTTGCAGTGACGGCAAACATGGGAACTGTCTGAATTTCACTCCTGTAACCCTGAAATATTTTCTCTCCCTTCTCAGCTTCCTCTGTCTTCAACCCCCACCTACCCCTCTCTTTTCTATCCCGGCTACTTTGCATCTCTGTAACTTGGCTCCGAGCAAACTGTGTTATTTTTACACGCGGGCGGGCGAGCAGAGCGTGCGGGCGGGTGAGTGGCGGCGGCGGTAGTGTAGATTTCCAGGTTTTTTCCGAGCACCTTCCTCCAACCTCGCCCATCTGCCGCCATCTGCCTCGCTTTAGCCTGCACTTTCTACTGCAATCACACACACAGCACACACGCGCACACACATAAATGCACACAGACGCACATCCTGTGAAAAATAACCAACAGCCTCCAATCAGCTTTTGGCACGCAAAGGAAGGGACTCTAAAAAAAAAAGCACAAAATGCTGCGCCAAATTGTCCTCCATACTTTTTCAAGTGGGATATACACTATGCCTCTCTCCTCCTGCCTTCATCTCCACCACCCACAGTCCTGTAACGCTCTCGCCAGTTGATCTGCTGGCCTTCAAGTGAAGCAGCGCTGATGGCTGGACAGCGGATGGCTGCAAAAAAACTATTACAAGAATGTAGTTATTTGGTTGTGTGTGCGTGTGTGTGTGTGCGTGTGTGTGTGTGTGCGTGCGTGTGCCGTGCCCTTTTCCAATCCAACCAACACCCTCATTCACACGCATAAGCTGCATATTTACTGTTCACCCTGATATTATGGAAAGTGTTTGCTTGTGAAATCTGCAAATTAAAATGTACATGCATAAATTCCACTGTAAGAAGGTTTCAAACATCAGAGTCCTTACAAAACTCAGGGTATTATGGCTACGGGGCGGTGAGAAAGTACTTCACTTCATGACTTAAGGGTGCATGTGTAGATGCCACAGATGCGTTCATGTATTACAAAGTCTCAGTCTGTTTAGTTTACAGAATTTAACACAGTCCCTGAGATTCATTTATCAGTTGATTATATTATATTATAGCATAGGTCCCTTTTGATTTGATACTGATATTTAATCCTAAATTACTTTTCCTAGGGTTGTCAGTAGTTGTAGATGCTTGGACAATATATTTGACCGTATACTTCATACCTTACTTTTGGTTGTTAAACACCCAGAAATTGAAGGTTATTCTATTATTGTACTCTTAACTAACTGCGCTATAGGACTACATATTGTAAAGATGGGTAATTGGTGGTGAAGATCAAAGCAAGAAGGGAGAGGAAGACTGAAGAAGTGGAAATGGTGAAAGAGGTAAAAATATATTCAGTATTATGATAGAAACATCTTAGAGGATGAAGGTAAAGCAAGGAAACGAATAAAGCGAGAGAGAGTTCAAAACAGAGAAAACAGAAAACAGATAAGAAAACTAAAAGCTTACCTCAGGGGCGAGGTATTCGGGCGTGCCACAGAAGGTCTTCATGGTAGCAGCGTCTGTGATGCCCTCCTTGCAGAGGCCGAAATCTGTGATCTTGATATGGCCATCCTTATCCAGCATCAGGTTTTCCAACTGGAAGGTAAACAAAACACACATCATATCACAAAACACAACTTTCACCATCAGAATCTGAAACACTGAATCTAATATTTCCTTCTGAGAATCAACACTTTACAGCTTCTCTTTGCTTTAATACTTTTTCTGTACGGTAAGGTCAAAGAAAACCATATCGCATTACCCCACACAGTGGCAGTACACACACTCAGACAGATGCACACAAATGCAGAGGAGGGAAATAAACTTCAGGCGTGTACTGGAGCCACTCAACCTTTTAATTTTAATGGCTGAAGTGTTTTTCTCACTCTCTGTCTGCTTTTTCTCCTTTCTGTTTTCTTGGCTGCTGGAAGCAGGGCTGGGGCCAAGGCTGCCAGGCAGACGCTCAGACAGAGCCATCTACCCCTCTACCTCTGTGGCAACAGCACCCCATCCCTTCCTCTCTCCTTCCCTTCCTGTCTCCACTTCATGTCTGTGTGAGCTTGTCCCTGTCTCTCTCTTTAATTACCACACATCCTGAGCCCCTCCTCTCCTGGATGAAAAAAAAAAAACAACAAACTGTGGAACACAAGGTGGGGGGCTACAAAAAAAAGTTTTCCCTCAAATATCTGATCCCTCTAATTCATGCCCCCCAACCAGCCTCCCCTCTCTGTTTCTGTTTACCTTGAGGTCCCGGTACACAATCTTGGCTGAATGCAGGTAGTCTAGAGCCGAGACGATCTCGGCGCCGTAGAAGCGCGTGCGCTCCTCGGAAAACACCCGCTCTCTTGACAAATGGAAAAACAGCTGCGGGAGAAGGAGGGAGGAAAAGGGAGGGTGAGAGAGAGGGAGAGACAGAGAGGGCGGGGGAGAGAGAGAGAGAGAGAGAGAGA